ATCCCTTCAATACCACATCTTAGTGAAAACAAAGAGTTTGTCACCCTTATTTCTTAAGAAAACTTAGTCAACGTATAAGCTTTATAGGCTTGCAACAAAATGGGTAGAAACGATAGCTAAACATGCGAAAACTGGTTATACCCCTATGATCACAAATAATTGATGGATTTCTTACGAGCATAATCCTCACTTTGGATTGCCATGAAGGAATAAGTCAACGATGGACTTTGTTAGCTTGTAATGTAGCTTGAAAACGATAGTTAAAGAAATAAGATTTTAAGGACATTGCACTGAAGATCGCTTTTTTCCCAAAATTGCCCCCTATTTTGAACTCAAAAGATTTCAAACTTTGTTTGGATTTTCTCATCATTCCCCAGGGACTTCAGTGTCGAATTTTTCTGCATTTTCTTTGCTTGCTTTTCTTTCGCTTCTTTTCTTTCCCCTCGAGCTGATGGGTTTTCACATGGTGAGTAGCGTCAACCTCATACTCAAGCAATTCAGAAATACAGCTAAAATTTTCCAGCATCAGAAATTTTCTTGACAGGGCCATTGCAAAGAACAGAAGTCAGGACTTTCGGCTTTTGTAATGGGGTCTGGTGGGGTGTTTAGAAAAGTTAAGGCTTGAAAGTGGATTTCAAAAGTGGTTTAAAAATTCTGAGATCACATTGTTATGCCAACCCTATTTTAGGGTTAAATCAGAATTTGCCCCAGTTTATGCTAAATTGAGGCTTTTTCTCTTTCATTTTCTTTCTTTTTTTTTTTTCTGATTTTTCGGCCTTTTGCCATTCTTTGAAATTTTCAAAATTTGCCCCAGTTTATTTGTGAACTGAGGTTCTCATTTCTTCTTTTGTTTTTTGATTTTGTGGCTTTTCACTTTTCACTTCTTGAAATTTTCCTTTTCAACTCAAACTTGCCCCCAGTGTGGGGTTTGCGATTCTCAGGGGTTGCCAAACGAAATAATTTATTCTGATGGCTCAAAAGGGATAACTAGGGATAGAATGTTTGATTGGAAAAGAAGAGGACCTGACTTTTATTCCATTCCTTACAATTATTCTGAGAGGAAACTTTCATTAATGCGAAATTTCTTGCATGTATCTGAATTAATTGACTGAGGAAGACTCTTGCTCATTCATATCTATGAAACATAAGTGATCCGCCGGACAGAACTTGTCCTTTTTACTCTTTTCTTTTCTTTTCAAAATTGAAACCCAGGTAGAATCAAATTTCCCCAATTCGCGGTTCCCTTTCCCCTTTTCTTTTTCCTTTTCAAAATTTCCCAATCTCCTTCCCCAATGTGGGGTGCGATCATATGTGCACTCGAAAAGAACCACCAATTTTAGCTCAAATGAGGATGCAAGGGATGATTAGTGTTTAGGTTGTAGAAACGACGGCCAAAGTATCATTCTTACACCTCATGACAACCAAAGTAACGAAATGGTCATTGAAAATCCATTCCCCTTTTGATATTTGAAAATTTTCCAATATAGGGTAGTGATCATTAGGGCTTTTATTTGAAACGAAATTATTCTTTCAAAGGCTCAAATGGGAGAGCAAATGATAAAATGTGTATAGGTAGAGAAACGAATGCTCAAAGTATCATTCCAAATTTTCAAAACAAACAAGTATAATGTACATTTTTGCTTTCACTTAGATGTGAATTGAATATAATTAGACACAGTGGACACTTTTCAAGCAAAGATTGCCCCAATTTGCAAATTATCAATCAATGTGACTGATTTTATTTTGGGGTTGAATGAAATGGGCAAAATATGAATTGTACAGTGAAGGAGAAAATGTATCTCATGAGGCCTTTGGAGTGACCATTCACCTTTTTTTTTTCTGAGCACTCTTATTGTATAGCTCGGATCACCAACTTAGTGTACATGAGTATACACTTGTGAAATTCAGACTATAGGTTGAAAAAATCTCAATTTGGTCTTATTTCTCAAAATTCATCATGAAATCTCCAATGAATAAGAATAAAGAATGAAATGTACATAAATATACACAAAACAATGATTGTCCAAAAATTTTATTGCTGAAAAAGTTTGAAACAAAAATTCTCATTCAATTATGATACAAATGAGAAGAGAGAAACTTGTAAAGAGCTCCACATATACACTTTTTGTCTCCTTTTCTTTTGACACAAAAATATATTAACAAGTCAAATATACAAAATTTTCCTTAAAAATAATTATGAAATCTCTTAGAAACTCTTAGTCTAGAGCTTTCAGATGGATCTTTCAGGTTTCCATTGTTGGATCTGCCCAAGAATCAAATAATACTTTCCAAACTTTATCGGATCAAAAATTGTTATCCAATATAGGGAAATATTTTCATCTTATTGAAACCTTTTTTATGAATGCAGGGGAGGGGGCAAACAAAAGAAAAATGCCCCGAGTTAGTAAACAAGAATATAAAATCGGTATGCATGTCCTATGGGGGAACCCTTTTATGCCAAGGGTAGGCCTAGCATGAAAATGCACTCCGCTAGAGTAGGCACCATACCATACCTGACGGATCTGATCAACTCATTGAGTGAAAAATAATTTTGAAAGAATTTGGTCAATTGGAGTGACGAGAGATTTGTCAAAATGAGGACAACGTCCGAATAGATTGATTACCTTTGATTTGCAAAACGCACGGGTTTGATCTTGACGAACTCCCTATCGAAGAGATTGGAGTTCGTTGACCAAATTTTTCAGTGAAGCACGGGTCAAAACTCCGACTGATCAAATGGCTGGATGCAATGGATGGTTTTCTCAAAAATCGACTAAGTTTTCCAATTTGAAATTGACATTGAAACCCTGATTGGTCAAATGGGTTGAATGAAATTGGTCATTTATTTAAAATCGACCAGATTACCCTAAAAAGGGAAACTAGTCAAATGAATTGAATGGAATTTAATAACTTACTCAAAATTGACCGGATCATCCTAAAAAAGGAACTTGGTCAAACGAATTGAATGAAATCGAGAATTTATTCAAAGTTGACCAGATCGCCCTAAAAGGGTAAATTTGGCAAATGAATCAGACGAAATTGATGATCTATCGAAAATCGACAAAATTGCCCTAACTAATCAAATGAATTGAATGAAATTGGTGATTTATTCAAAAATTGACTAGATTGCCCTAAAATGAGTGAATTGGCCAAATGGAATGAAAATTAATTCAAAAATCGACCGGATGACCCTAAAAAGGGTAAATTGGTCAAATGAATTGATGATTTATTCAAAAATCGACCGAATCACCCAAAAAGGGTAAATTAGTCAAATGAATTGATTGAAATTGATGATTTATTCAAAAATCGACCAAATCACCCAAAAAGGGTAAATTAGTCAAATTGATGATTTATTGAATGAATTGGCAAAATGGATTGGTTGAATCGGCCGGCCATTGGTGGTTTTAGAAAATTAGTCTATGAGCCTTCTAAAATCACTATTTGTCCTCAATTTATTCATCGTCTCAACAGGAGGAATCATTTGTGAATTTCTTCAAATTAATGTCCTTTATGCAAGGGATTTTTACCAATTTTTGATAAAATGGCCAAAAAGTGATTATTAGATGCTCATATTCCAAAGATCGCTTTATGCAAATGATCGGATCCTACCTTACCTTGTGCACTACCCCTTTGGATGGTACAAAATGTAAACGTGCAAGTCTCACTGGATTAAGTATCCGAGACACAAGGTGGCTTATTCCTAAACACGGGATTCCCTATGTGGCATTCCCTTTCTATGGTTTATGCGTGATGCCATTTATTAAAACGATGTAAATATGTGACAAATATGGCCTAAAGGACATGAATAATGCATCGGGGGGGAAAAAGGTCTAAAATGTATTTATTGAAAATTAAGTGTAATGACTGAAATTTAAACATGTGAGTTATCTAATGGGTAGGTCACTAAAAGAGTGCCAAAGAGGCCTCTTATTGCTAAGGCACATGAATGCAAGCCAAGAAAACAAAAGAATGGTTAGTGCAATTGATAGTACACATAACATATTGGGAGCAATTAAGAAAAAAAAATACAATAAAAACAAGTAACAGGGGTAGAACCTCTTCCCCCGTGCCTAATGTGCTTAAAAGAGGGTGAGGTTGACTCTAACTTAGGAAAATTCTAACATGGATGCATGAGGCTAGGGCTTACTAATGCAACTAGACTCGATAAGGCTTCGGCTCCCAAGCCTTCAGACCTAAAGGCAAAGGGTCATCACTTCCAAGGCCTTCGATCGGTGGTTCGAGTGATCCCTTAGGTAGCGCTATGGGCGCAGTGCACACCATCCGCCTACCCAAGGCAATCAATCCTAATCCTACAAGGCGGTGTGGGATAGCGCCCACGAAAAATAAAATAAAATGGGATAACAATAAATAAACGTGCACGTATGAAGTGTTCCCTATTTTGAGGGAAGGGGTTGAGAACCATGCGAGGCTCTAAAGGTGACACACACCCCCCCCCAAATGCAATGCAAGCGCGAGATAAACAAGTAAACATACATCCAATCAACCAATCATACATGCGTGAGTGAGGGAGTAATTAATACGCGCGAAATGCAAAATCCTAAAAAGGAAAAATGCAACCCTAAAACACCCAAATGTGATATATGAAAAGGTTAAAAGAAGAAAAAGGTTGATTAAATCAAATTTGCTCGGACTCTCGAAAGTCCCCAGTGGAGTCGCCAACTGTCGCGCCCCATTTTTTGATAAATAAATAAATGAATCAAAAAATACATTTTTTAAACCATTTATTTATTTATCAAAAAATGGGGCGCGACAATGAAAACATTGGAAATAACAATAATTTACATACATTAACACTTTGAAATTCATACAAAAAATATAGCACACAGATGCCATAAAAATACTTTTAGTCACATACGATCAAAGTAAAATCAAGTGCCTCAAAAGTATGCCACATAGTCAAACAAAAATACAATGGCCTTGGCACTAGCATCACCCCAGCTATTTCTAACCACAAAAGTCAAAAGTCTGTCACTCTAGGTCTATTCCACGGTAGGGCTATCAGGTGGAACCTTCTCCTTAGGGTCCTCCTCCGGATCCTCCTCAGCGCCCTCAGGGAGTGGACTCTGTACAGTATCCATCACCTCATCAATCAGCATGGAGGTGTCAGTTTGAATCCCGGAAGCCTGATCCCGGATCTTCTCGACTATCCTAGTGAGTCAAACTCTAACCCTCCGAATCTCGTCACGTGCGATCTCAATCCTAGCCACCTCATTCACAATAGTCCCATCTAAATTTGCTATCCGCTCACCCTAAGCGTTTACTATATGGCTCAACTCCTCAATCTCCTGAAGTAGAGATTGGCTGGTATCCACCAACTGGCGTCACTCATCATTAAGAGCAAGTACGGGATCATTCGGATAGGCGTACGTCGTCCTACAGGGACAACGGGGAATCCTCGAAGCAGGTGTGATGTGAGACGCGGAAGCAAAGATTGGATCTTAGAGTACACGTTGCGAATTGACGGAGTTGAATCCAACTTGGACCACTCAAGAACGAATTCAACGGTGGAGGACGCCACAATCAAGTGTGATCGCTTGATTGATAAGTCAATAAACAACCTAGGAGCCACGCTAGGATGTTCAACTTAGCTTTCACAAGCTAAAGGAATTTGCCTTAATGCAAGACGAAATTCTGAAGGTTTATTAATAATATCGCAAAAACTGCATGTAAAACATGACTTAAGGCTATTTATAGCCTTGACTAAACCCTAATAAAGCTTGGAAAATTCGGCCAGCGCACATCCTTCACTTGGCAATACTTTAGTAGTCTCGCCAGGATCTTCAAACTCAATCCCTTCAATGGGCGGTTTCTCTTGGGCTTGGATGGCATAAACCAGGGTTTGAAGCGACTCCTTGAATCTCTTGGATCGTGCTCGTGTCACTGGCCCTTGGGGCACCTTTACAGGGTCTACTTGAACACCATGGGCCTCGTCCGCATCATTCCCCTCCTCTTGAAAAGGATTTGCCCTCAGATCGTGCTCGTCCCCTGCAAGAAACGGACTTAAATCAGCGACATTGAATGTAGCACTAACATTATACTCACCAGGCAAATCTAAGCGGTAGGCATTGTCGTTGATGCGCTCAAGGACTTGAAAAGGCCCATCTCCTCTTGGTGATAGCTTGCTGTGTCGTTGCTTTGGGAATCTCTCCTTGCGCAAGTGTAACCAGACCCAATCGCCAGGTTCAAAGACAAGCTGGCGCCTGTGCTTGTTTGCTTGTTGTACATATTGGGCCGTCCTCCTCTCGATGTTGGCACGAACCTTGTCGTGCAATGTCCTAACGAACTCAGCCTTCTTCTTGCCATCTAGGTTTACATGCTCAGAAGAAGGTAATGGCAACAAATCCAAGGGGGTTAAGGGGTTAAAACCATACACAATCTCAAAAGGTGAGAATTGTGTAGCACTATGCACAACCCTATTGTATGCAAACTCTACATGAGGTAGACACTCCTCCCATGACTTGAGATTTTTCTTTATAATTGCACGTAGGAGCGTGGATAATGTCCTATTCACTACCTCAGTTTGTCTATCCGTTTGAGGATGACTAGAAGTAGAGAACAACAGTTTGGTTCCCAACCTACCCCATAGAGATTTCCAGAAATAGCTCAAAAACTTGACATCTCTATCAGACACGATAGTCCTAGGTATGCCATGCAAATGAACAACTTCTTTAAAGAATAAGTCAGCAATGTGCAAAGCATCATCCGTTTTATGACATGCAATAAAGTGAGCCATTTTGGAAAACCTGTTTACCACAACAAATATGGAATCATGACCACGTTTAGATCGAGGTAAACCAAGTACGAAATCCATGGAAATGTCAACCCAAGGTTGGTGAGGTATAGGTAAAGGGGTATACAAACCGTTTGGATTGACCCGAGACTTAGCTTTGTGGCACACACCACACCGTTCAACAATCCTCTCCACATCCCGGCGCATGCGTGGCCAGGAGAAGTGATCCTGCAACATAGCTAAAGTCTTGGTGACACCAAAGTGTTCCATTAGTCCACCACTGTGTGACTCATGGACAAGTAAGTCACGAATAGAACCTTGGGGAATGCATAACTTAGTAAGATAGAATAAGAAACCATCATGCACATAGAATTTTTCAAAGTTAGCCCTCCCACAATTCCCATAGGCATTTGAAAAGTCAGGGTCACTTGTATACAAGTCTTTCATAAGCTCAAACCCTAGGAGTTTTGCATCTAAAGCAGTGAGCAAGATGTGTCTACGAGATAAAGCGTCAGCCACTACATTAGACTTACCTGTCTTGTACTTGATGACGTATGGGAATGACTCGATGAAGGCTACCCATCGGGCATGCCTTTTGCTTAATTTTTGTTGTCCTTTAAGGTGCTTGAGGGACTGATGGTCAGTTTGGATGACAAATTCCCTAGCGCGGAGGTAGTGTTGCCAGGTCTCTAAGGCACGTACAAGGGCGAGCAACTCCTTGTCATATGTAGAGTAGTTGAGAGCCGCGCCACTTAGCTTTTCACTGAAATAGGCGATTGGCTTGCCACCTTGCATTAGTACGGCTCCTACTCCAACACCTGATGCATCACATTCCACTTCAAAAGTAAGATCAAAGTTAGGTAGTGCAAGAAGTGGTGCATGTGTGAGTTTGTGTTTTAATAATTGCAAGGCCTTATCTTGTGCTTCCCCCCAAAAGAACTTCTCGTGCTTTTTCATGACCGTGGTAAGAGGTGCAGCAATGGTGCTAAAATCCTTCACGAAGCGGCGGTAGAAGCTTGCTAGGCCATGGAAGCTGCGCACTTCACTTACAGAGGTAGGTGTTGGCCACTCTTGGATGGCCTTGACCTTTTCTGCATCCACATGAATGCCCTGCGCACTTACCACATATCCTAGAAACACAACACGGTCAGTGCAAAATGTGCACTTCTTAAGGTTGGCGTATAGCCTTTCCTTTCAAAGGACATCAAAAACAGCTTTGAGGTGCTCAAGGTGCTCCTCTAAGCTCCTGCTATAGATCAAGATATCGTCAAAGTAAACCACTACAAATTTCCCAAGAAAAGGTCTCAAAACATGGTTCATCAGACGCATGAAAGTACTAGGGGCATTAGTTAAGCCAAAAGGCATCACTAGCCACTCGTATAGACCATGTTTAGTTTTGAAAGCAGTTTTCCACTCATCACCTTCTTTCATTCTTATTTGGTGGTAACCACTTTTCAGATCAATTTTAGTAAAGATAATGGCACCATGCAGTTCATCTAACATATCATCTAACCTAGGAATAGGGTGACGATACTTTACCGTGATCGTGCTGACTGCTCTACAGTCAGTACACATTCTCCGAGTTCCATCCTTCTTAGGCACGAGAATCACAGGTACAGCACACGGACTTAGACTTTCGCGAGCCCAACCTTTCCTTAGTAACTCCTCTACTTGCCTTTGCAACTCCTTAGTTTCCTCAGGGCCCATGCGATAGGCCGGTTTGTTAGGTAATGGAGCTCCAGGAATGATGTCAATCTGGTGCTCGATTCCCCTTAAGGGTGGTAGTCCATCGGGCACATCCTCAGGAAAAATGTCCTCAAATTCTTGTAAAAGAGACAAAGATACAAGGAGGTAAAGAGTCAGTAGGTATGGATGAGATGACCAACTCTTCTTTGCACACAAGTACAAGTAAGAGTTGGTTAGAAGACAAAGCTCGCTTTACATCTTTGGCTTTTGCTAGCAAGCTTAGTTTCCCCTTACTTTCTCCTCTCATGGCCGACTCACTTGTAGCCTTTTTCTTCCCTACGGGTTCGGCCATACTCTCAATTTTTTTCTCCTCACTTTTTTCTTGCTTTTTTTTTCTCAAGTTCTAGCTCATACTCCCTTTGGAGTTTCATTTGATCTTCATACACTTGCTTTGGTGTGAGGGGTACAAGAGTCACTTTTCGATTACAATGAGTAAAGACGTATTTGTTGGCTTTCCCTTTGAACTCCACATCTCGGTCGTATTGCCAAGGTCGCCCAAAAATGAGATGGCTTGCTTGCATTGGCACTACGTCGCAAGTGACTTCATTTTCATACTTGCCAATTCGAAATGGCACTTTCACTTGTCGAAATACACGGACCTCCCCTTCATTGTTCAACCATTGAAGGCGATAAGGTCTAGGATGTCTGATGACTGGGAGCCCTAGCTTCTCTACCATGAGTAGGCTAGCTACATTGGCACAACTCCCACTATCAATAACAACACTACAAACCTTATCCTTGATATGACATCTCGTGTAGAAAAGGTTATCCCGTTGTACCTCTATTTCCTCTTCCTTCGCGCGGGTGGTGAGGACCTTTCGAACCACCAAGCATCCAATCTCCTCATGTGTGGGTACCTCCTCACTTGAATCATCCCCTTCACCCTCTAGAGGTGGCATCCCTTCGTATTCCTCCTCTTCATCGGACACAATCTCGCCATTTGGCAATAGTAGCATAGCCCTTTGGTTGGCACATTGAGATGCGATATGACCATAGCCTTGACACTTAAAGCACTTAGTGTCTCGGCCACGCGGCTTAGAAGCTCCATTATTAGCCTTAAATTCAGGTTTGGCCGTTGCCTTGAGTGGAAAGGCATTCGGCCTTGGTGGTTGAGACGGAGCTGTGGCCTTCTCCTCCCTCTTTGGTTGAGGGGTACGCCAATTTCTAGCTTGGTACGTGGTGCTAGACCGTGTACTTCCCCTCCTCTTGAGGCGTCGTTCAACTGTAACCGCCTTCTCTAACATTTCATTCATGTCGAGGTAGTGTTGGAATTCCACTACTTCGGCAATCTCGGGCCTCAAACCATGCAAAAATCGAGCCATAGTGGCTTCTCCATCCTCACGCAAGTCTGCCTTCATAATGGCCATCTCCATCTCTTTATAATAATCCTCGACTGACAAGGAACCTTGGGTGAGAGATTGTAACCGTCGGTGTAAGTCACGGCTATAGTAGCTCGGCACGAACCTTTTCCGCATGAGACTCCTCATCTCATCCCAAGTCTCCACGGCCCTTTCACGATTTCTTCTTCGGCTTAGTCGTAATTGGTCCCACCAAATGGAGGCGTAGTCAGTGAACTCCACGGCTGCAAGTTTTACTTTTTGTTCCTCCGAGTAGGTGTGACACTCATAGACCAATTCGATTTTCCGTTCCCATTCCAAGTAGGCTTCGGGATCGGACTTGCCTTGCAAGGAAGGAATTTTGAGTTTGACCCCCTTAATGGTGTCGTCTCCTCGCCTTTGTGCACGGTGATCAGTTTGGTACCTTCCCTGATCCTCTTCATCATTGGAGTACACCGATTCCTTGCCTTTACTCGAGCTATGTAGATTCCTCGAGTTTTCCAACTGGTCAATCCGGTCATGCAATGGTTCAATGGAGGTTTTAAGCAATTGCTTGAACTCCCCCATAATGGCATCTAGGCGTAGTTGAAGGTCCATTGCTTGGTCACCAACTCCACTAGACATGCTTAGGTACACCTGTAAAAGAAAACAAAAACAAAACGACTTCTTCTCTTCTATTTCTTTTTTTTTTTTTTTTTTACAATGTAGAGGTCACTCACACTCGTGTTTCACTCAAGTGTATCACTCTCTAAGAATCTCACCAACAATTCCTTGGCTTGCTAGTTGCTCGGGTTGAACAACCTAGGCGTCACCGGAAGGTACGTTCTTGGCTAATCAACAAGTAACACAAGAAGGTAGCTATGAATGGAGGTGAATGAGGATCTAGACACAATCTAAAACTCAGAATAGGACTAACAATAACTAAGACTCGGAAGAGAAAGCAAAACAAATGAACTCAAAGCTGAAATATTGAAAATCCTAGAAAACTCTACTCGTGACCCAAATTTCTGGAATTTTGTGAGCTGCTGGTTCGTGGTCCGTTGGTCAGTGTTTGGAGGTAGTTTGGTGCTGGTTTGAGGTAGAGGTCACCCCTCAAATTGCAACCCAATCGGCTCACCAAGTGGTGCTCAACCGGATCAAAATTGTGGGCTGATGAGGGCGGATCAAAATTGTGGGCTAATTTGGTTTGTTGATTTTCTTGGCTGCTATCAATCCCAACGAAATTAAGATGAGTTGGAGTCAAGGTGGGACTTGGTGCACAATTAGGAAACTAGAGCCAATATCTTTCTTTCCTCTTTCTTTTTTTTTTTTGTTTTTTTTTCTGGCTCAAAGATTCTTTCAATCATGGAATTCCAGTCCCAAAAGTCAGATCTCCAATCAAGGCTTGCCAAGGCAAATAGATTCGACAACCACCCAAGAAGACAACTTCCAGAAATATGTTTCAAGAACAAGGTATGCGACACCCTTTTTTTTTTTTTTGACTTTTGCTGGGCAGTTTTGGCAACCCAAACGACACAACACTCCACAACAATTATACCACAATCTGGACAGAAACTAGGGGCAACTAATGACTGAAATTTTCTGGACAGATTGCACAAAACACGAACACACAATATTCAAGGGACAAACGCAAAACAGGTTCGGCAGCCACCAAGAAATAAATTCCAGCAATGACCCAAGGAAGCAACAAGGTACGCCAGACAGGCTTTTTTTTTTCCCGCTTTACTTGCTGGACAAGACACGTACCAGCAATACCAAATCACGATGCACGAAGACAAATCTGGACAGGGAAAACATGGACAGCAACTAACAACAACGCAACAACGAAGACAAACAAGAAAACAGTTTCGGACTTGACAAGGAAACAACAACGATGTAACACAAAATCCCAACACTTGGACTATGAATTAAGAAGACTAAAACAGACTCAAAAACAATTAAAAGGGATATACGTGGTACCTCTAACCTTGCTCTGATTACCAGATGATGTGAGACGCGGAAGCAAAGATTGGATCTTAGAGTACACGTTGCGAATTGACGGAGTTGAATCCAACTTGGACCACTCAAGAACGAATTCAACGGTGGAGGACGCCACAATCAAGTGTGATCGCTTGATTGATAAGTCAATAAACAACCTAGGAGCCACGTTAGGATGTTCAACTTAGCTTTCACAAGCTAAAGGAATTTGCCTTAATGCAAGACGAAATTCTGAAGGTTTATTAATAATATCGCAAAAACTGCATGTAAAACATGACTTAAGGCTATTTATAGCCTTGACTAAACCCTAATAAAGCTTGGAAAATTACACAAGAAATTCGGCCAGCGCACATCCTTCACTTGGCAATACTTTAGTAGTCTCGCCAGGATCTTCAAACTCAATCCCTTCAATGGGCGGTTTCTCTTGGGCTTGGATGGCATAAACCAGGGTTTGAAGCGACTCCTTGAATCTCTTGGATCGTGCTCGTGTCACTAGCCCTTGGGGCAACTTTACAGGGTCTACTTGAACACCATGGGTCTCGTCCGCATCAAGGTGAGTAACGTACATGAGCTCCCCTACCACGAGTTCGGTAGTAAATAGGTCTAAGGGGTCCCACGTGGCCATTTGCATAACCATTACCATTAGTAGCCGGTCCCCTATTTCCAGTCTCCATCCCTGCAAAACAACCACAATTTTCCAGGTCAGAAACTTAAAGTCACTAACACGCTCAAACATCGCTTAAGAAATAATTAAATGATCTCATTCTCATTTTCAAGGCTAAAATCTCTAACACATTTCCCCAAATAGATCTCTAAACCTAGGCTTTGAATTTCATCCCTACAAGTAGTCACTTAGCTTTCCAACCAGTCCCACAGTCCAGCTGTGAGAACCCGTAATTTTTCCATTTTCTAGGTTTTATTATATTTCTAGGTTTTCTTATCTTCAATGGTTTGTTTTCTGCACTTTCTGTATCCGGAAAATTTTCTAGATAATTTTTATGAGTAAATATAGTTTTTAGATGATTTTTCTAATATCGAATAGATTTTGAGAAATGAAGAGTGTATACCGGACGTGGGACCCACTAGTACGAAAAGTTCGGAATTAATTTACCGGGTGTTAAGAGATAAGTAGAGGGTGTTAAGTGGATTGATATAAGAGAGACAAGGTTGGTGAGCATTTATTAAAAGGTGACAAGTGTCACCATTTGAGTGGTCCAACCTTAAGACCACTATTCATGGTCTTACCAATTGACTTAAATATCTTAAAATTCACCAAAAATCCCTCATTCTTCTTTTCCTTTTGGCTGAACCTCTTCCTACAAGAAAAGAAAGAAAAGCTTCCAAGTTTCTTGCTCCAATCTTGCCCAATCTCACAAACTAACCGTTTAATCTTGAATTCCTTCCATAAAACCTCTTCAAGTAGTGTTTGTGAGTTGTTGTGTGAAGTTATTTGGAAAGTTAAGGTGATCAATAGCTCTCTCTCTCTTGTTTTTAAGGTAAGTTGTGAAGAACCACCCTCCTCCTTTAATTGATGCTTAAATGATGCTTAGTGGTAGTATAAGATGCAAGTTTATGGGTTATTTCTTGATTTGTGGTTGAAGTGATGAAGTTTTATTATTTTTGGGGATTTTTCTGTTTTAATATAAGCATGATTGTGTGGCTATCTATGATGATTGGAAATGGTCTATAATGACTCTAGGAGGTGGAAAAAGTGATTAATTGCAACCAATTTCTGGTTTGGAAGAAATTTCAGAAAAACTAGGGTTCTTGAGGGAGCATTCTGCCCGAATTTTTAGGTCCTATATAGAGGCTGAATTGGCCTTGGCTTAAAACATGAACGTTGTAGGGAATGACATTTTAGAGGTTCCTACAAAATTTCAGGTCAATCAGAGTAGTGTAGAATGAGATAAGTCGAAATTACTATTGCTGTTCTGGTTTTACCCGAATGTAAGAATTGCACCTGTAATTGGTTGTTTTGGCTGGAATTGCTTCCGAATTGGTTGTTTAGGCCTTCTGATGAAATTGATCCCTGTTTCTTAGCTTTCAGCTGGTTTTGGAATTTCTAGATTTGGACTTGGAGAGCCTGAGTTATGATGTTTCCGCTAGAATGCGTTTTGGTGAATCTGTTTTACGTTTTTGATGTAGTATCTTGCATTTTTGACCTATTTGCACTCAAAACTGGGTTGAGTGACCTTCTGTGATCTTGTAGCCCTGACTTTTATCTTCGAGATGGTTGGTCTTGTACCCTCATCCGATAATCGTAGTGAAATTGGTGCCATTACCGCAAAATGAGGATAAAAACTATTTTTTTTTCAGGGCCAAAGCTAATTGCATTTCCGAATTTTCTGGTTTCCTCTATTGTTTGTGTATGCTTAGGGAACCCTATTTTGGTAGTATGTAGAATTGGTTTATGACTTATAATCGAGTCTTATTGTATTTATTTGAATAGTTTAGAGCTTGACTTTCATATCCGGTCATTTCCTAGCTAAATTTTGTACTTGAATGCCATTAAGCCTAGTGAACGGCTTTTGGGAATGAGATTATTTTTGTACGAGATGTTGGGACTGATTTGAAGAAATAATGAAGCCATGATGGCTAGAAAATAGGTAAACACAAGGGATATGCTGCTGAAATTTTTCTTGAAGGCTAGTTGGATTTATTTGTGATTTGAACGAAGGGCTTTTGGGTTGTTTGAGCCTAGGTCTTCATGTTACCTTTTCGTTACCAAAAATCATGTTTTGCACCCTTGATTTAGTAATTATTTGGCGAGGCATACGACTGGTAGTCGAGCCTCACATGTGCATTCTGTATACTCAATTTTGAAAGTGAAACCTTCAATTGTTTTCCTTGGATTATTTTAGGGTTTCTTGGTGGTTAAAGCTCTCTTTTGGGAGGTATCTGCACTGACCCTGGTGAGTGTACTACTCACTTGTGTGTTACTATATGGCTATGAATGTAAATTGCTTGAAGTGAATTGAATGTGACTTGATTGAAGTGAAAGTGTACTTTATCACTCTCACTTATATGCCTTATATCATTGTTGTCATGTTATTGGAATGTTACATGAAATGTTACATGAAATGAAAGTACTTGACTTGGTGTCGATCGGACGAGTATCCAACGACTACAAATGTTATCATCGATCTCAACCCCATTGGTAGTTGATTGGATCGAGCCGGCAAGGGCTTGGTCGTGACAATTAATGAGCCTTGGGTAAAGTTATAAGGAATCTTGTAGTATGAGAGACTCTCGATTCCGGTATACTCGAGTAATACCAAAGTGCAAGTGTTTGGAGTTCGGGCCCGGTAGGGGGATGTTAGGTGGAAGGAGTGGAAGTAAAGTGGAGTCTACGGTTGGTTACCTTTGAACATTGACGGAGGGTCAATGACGTCTGATCAAGAAATGCAAACGAGGAAAGGGCTCTTGAGAGCCATCTGTATCCTTTTATCACCATATTTGACGTGTGCCTTTGCTTATTTTTACTATATTGAATGAAAGCTTGATGCTTATATGCACTTGGGTGCGTAAGTGATAGTATCTTACTGGGCAATTAACTCACACCATTCCTTTTGTTTTCCTTACAGGAATATGACTCCTTTTGGAATGAATCTTGATAGATGATTGCCGAATGAACTAGATGTATATAT